TCTGTAATAATTATTCAATAGCTATTTGTGGAATGAAGGTCCCTATCCTAATTGATTCAAAATCCAGGTGAGACCACTTTTATATCTTTAAACAGTGAGAGAAAAGTCACAATATTGTATTGCTAAGATAGAGATACCTGGTTTCCCTGATATGTTTCATATTCTTTTTAATGACAGTACTGTTCACTATAATTGCACAGTCCTCTGCAGTAATGGCTCTGTTTTCCTCCTCGTGTACACAGATGCTACTAGTTCTGGCCATTGAGCTATAAGTGGGAATATTGTGTGCAACACCGAGGAAGTTCTGCAAAAGGAGACAATTCACCATTACTTGCCTTCTTCCTGCTGCTGAAATTGGACCTGCTAAGTCCTTGAGGAAGGGAGAGTAAGACTAAAGGAGCTAAGTCCTTGACACTGTGGAATACCACAGCCAGCCCCAGACTTCCTACCTCCATCCTCTTGTATGAGAGAAACATAAATTTTTATGTTGTGTAAGCCCTCATTATCTTAGGTTTTCTGATATACACAGCCAAAGTTAATCCTATTCATTGCGCATATGGGTATTAGCTTCCTATTGCTGCTGTAAAAAATTACCACAAATTTAGTGGATTAAAACAAGTTTATTGTAATTCTGGAAATCAGATGTACAGAATGGGTCTCATGAGGCTAAAATCAAGGTTTTGGCAGGATTGAACTCCCTGAGAAAGCTCTAGGGGAGGATCTGTTTCTTTGCCTTTCCAGCTTCTAGCGGCTGCTTGCGTTCCTTGGTTCTCGAGCCTTTCCTTCGTCTTCAGAGCCAGTAGCACCTGGCAGCCCTATTCTTGCCAGTTCACTATACTGTCACAGCCTTTTCTTTTTTTCTGATACTAGGAATCGACTCCGGGCCTTCCACTTGCCAGGTAGGTGCTGTGCCCCTGAGCTATGTCCCCAGCCCCACTAGTACTGTCTAGTCTGTCTCCCTCTTCCGTATTTAAGGCCTTTGATTAAATTGAGCCTATCTAATAATTCAGAATATTCCCCCATTTCAAGATGTGTTTATTAGAAAGCTAATCCTAGTTTGCAGCCTTAATTTCCTTTTACCATATAACAACATATTCACAGGTTTGGACAGTTAGGGCTTGAACATCTTTGGGGGCTACTATTCTCCCCTCTATAGTATATGAGTTTTAAGTTTTTGATTGAAAAATGTATTTATTTATTGAGTTGTTGATCTTTATATGCAGCTTTATAGAATTATGCCAATTGGTAATTACTCTTTATAGAACATTTAGCATTTGTTCTACATGTAAATTTTAATAATTATTTATTGACTTATTTATTCAGCTAACATTCTTGAATATATTCTGTGTGACTGATACTGCATTGGTATATAAATCCCTAGTATAGTCCCTGATCTTATAAGAACCTTACAAGTTTGTGGGAGAAGCAGATTTATAGAAATGCTTTTAGGACGAGGGATATAGTTCAGCGGTACAAGCACCTGCCTGGCAAGCACAAGGTCCTGAGCTTGAGTCCTGGTACAAAAAAAAAAAAAAAAAATGCTTTTAAACAAATATCAAAGGGGCATGATATACATAAACTGACTCAAAGTCAAGGGAATCTTTTTGTGAAAAAGTGACAGAATTTATCAGGATTAGAATGGGAGAAAAGAGAATTAAAGCTGGAAGTCACACATATGCAGAAACCTCGGGATGAGTGCTTTTGGGTTGCAAATCCAAGTGCTATGTAGCTCTAGATGAGGCTGAAGAGGTAGGTATGCTGGAGCCAGGGCAAGTGAAAGTGCTAAGGATTTGGTACATTATATTGACAGCACAATTGTAGGCCATTTGCATGGATTTTAAGTTATGGTGTCAGCATTATGCAAGATGTTAGTTCCATGAAGAAAGAAAAAGTGGGTAGGACAACAAGCACTAAGAGAATTTTAATTTTTTTCTTTTGAATAAATATTTAAGAAGGAATTATTTAATGAGAAAAAGCAACACAAATAGTCTTTTTTTTTTTTTTTTGGTTTTGTTTTTTCTCCGGTACCGGGAATCAAACTCATGACCTTGCGCTTGCCAGGCAGACACTGTGCCCCTGAGCTAAATCCCCAGCCCCAGCAACACAAATATACAGTGTAACTCTTCAAATGAAGCACAGATGAAATATAACATTTCCAGATTATATTAATAAGTAGGAAGTACTATCAGGCTGCTGATAAAAGTTAAGAATAGAATACAAAGAATAATTAATTTTCCAGTGTTTTCTATATTAATGAAATTATTCCAGGTTATATATTATGGTGATGTTTCCAGCTGCTTTACTACATGACAAGCTCTCAAAACTATATGATACATACATATTTTAGAAGAAGTCCCTCATGCCTCTATTGATAATTTCACCACTATTATATTCATAGTTGTTCAACACACAAAAAACTAACATTCTCTCCATTCAGATTCTGCTGTCTTCTGTATTATCTTACCCATTTTCAAGAGGGCAGATTTGTTTGCTTTCTCAGGAATCAAATTAATTTAGCAGTTCTGGAAGTGTATTAGAATTTTTTGGAATTAGACATCTAGCCCCATAGAGCTGATAATCCCCTCACATACTTGAAAGGACTTTGTTGATCCCACTGGTGTAGTTCACTTTTACTACATTTTTTAATCTGTGTCTTCTAGCCTGAGCTTTTTATTTCTGCATTTCTAATACTGAAGGCAGTGCTTGTCTAATGGGAACTACACCAAATAATAGTAGAACAAGAAAGTTCATCTTTACACACCGGTGTTATGAAGACTCCATACAAAAGTATACATGAAATGTTTAACATTGTATTTGGCACATGGTAAACAGTAAAGGAAAGGTAACAAAAATAAAGCAAAATCTCAGCCAAGGATTAAAGTCAGGTGTAAGGGTCATAATCTAGAATCCTTACACAGGACCTTTCTTTTCAAGGCCAAAGATAATTTTTATCCTTGAAAATGTCATTTCAAGCATGAGTGAAATGATTCTAGCTACTAAAGAGCACAAGAAATAGATCGCATTTACATGTTTTTTGTTTAACACTAGTTGAGATATTTTGTCTAGAAATGCTGTTGGCTTATATTAGCTATATTGTTGAAGGAACTGTTTCTACAATAAACTTTCTACTCTAGAATAAATATTTCCAGTGCAGTTAGATGGCATGTGACACTTGATATTTATGCAATCTTCTTAAAAATACAAGTTTAAAATTATGAAAGAACTATAAAAACCTTAGTTTTGATTTTTGGTTTGCATATGAACACCAATTTGAACTGATTGAAGCAGAAATTATTATAAAGATAAAAGTTTGTTTTCATATTATATAAAAGGAGTAGTAAAACCAGGTCTCACAAGTAAAGAATAAGAACAGCTCTACATACACAGGCAGTGCCTTTCTGTTTCTTCCACTTTGTCTCTCTGTGCCTCTGTTTCATTTTGTTTCCAGACCTGCTCCTCTGCATGAAAGTGGTATGGACTCAGAAGAGTCATGGGTCATGACTCAGTATGAGGAGATACTTAGATATGCACCCAGCATTGCTCCACAGTGCCTAGAGAAAAAAATCATTCCTGCCCCGAATTGTGTTATTAAAGATTGTATTGTTCAATCTTTGACATGTACAATTACACTATCTAACTTTTGCATTTTTATGGGAATATATATATATATATATATATATATATATATATATATATATATGGTTTAGATGTCTAATTTTGCCACAGACGTGAGAGCTACATAAAATTTAGTGTTAACAACTATTTAAACATACTAAATTTGCCTGTATAGGTACATGACCTTTACATTTGCCTTCACTTGAATGTAATGTTCCTCAGATTGGTAAGTGTACTATAGTTTACTAGGCCGTTTTATATTGTTGAAAGTTTAATCATTTGGGGTTTTTTTGTAAATGGTTTTGATACAGCGTTTTTGACATTTCCTAGTAAAATTTTTTCAAAATTGGAATTAATGAAAAAATTAATCAGTTCCTAGTAAATGAAAATGAACATGTTTGTGTGATGGTTAATCTTGCTTGTCAACTTGATTGAATTAGGAAACATCTAGAACATTAGTAAAGCACATTTGTGGGTGTGTCTGTGAGGTTGGTTATTAAAGAGATGGATGTGTGGCACAGCAAGTTGAGGAGGAGACCGCCCTGAGTGTGAACAGCACCATCCAGTGGAGTGGGGCCTGGATGGAACAAAAACTAGAGGAGGAAGCCCAACAGCAGAGGTTGTTTTCCTCTTTCTTTGCTTCCTGGCTGCCATGCACTGAGCACCTTTCCTCTGCAGTACTGTGATGTCTCTGCCTTGCCAGAGGACTAAAGCAATAGAACTGGTAGACCACAGACTGAAACCTCTGAAACTGAGCCAAAATAAATCTTTGTTCCATAAAGTTGATTTATGTTGGATATTTTGTCACAGCAATGGAGAACTGACTAACATTGCCAACTTTTGCTAATGTTTGTTGAAATATTGTTACTACATAGTTTTTGGTAATTATGTTTTACTTCAGTTTCCATATTTTAATTATAGGTAAAATCATTCCTAGTTAAGTGTGTATAAATCTCATTTGAAATCACTATTATTCAACTTGTTTTCCTATTACTTACAATCTACAATTTATATTATTATTTTAATGTTGTAGATATTTGTGGAACTTACTTTCTTTACATTGAATTAATTACTGTTATCAACTAAGTACCTTCTCTATTTAGAAGCTCAACTTCTTTCATAAATCTACCTATTGGTGCTGTGCTTTTGATGGGTAAAATTACAAATAAGCATCTATTTTTTTAAAATATCATGTGGAAAGTTTGGCTGTGTGTGTGTGTGTAATGTAGTAATAGGGATTGAACCTAGAGCTTTTACACTGAGCTACATCTTCAGCTCTTTTTTTTTTTTTTTTAAAGAGTAAAGTCTTTTTTATATTTGAAGTATATGTCTTTTTTTCTTTTTTTTTTTTTTTTTTTTTTTTTTTGAGACAGGGTTTCCCTTAGTTGTTGCATTGGACCAAGCTGGGCTCAAACTTTCCATTATCCTGCCTCAGCCTCCAAGACAGGTATGCACCACCAAGACCAATTTCTGGCAGATATTTTCATTAGCTAACTGGTGACATTTTTAGCAAATGCCAAAAGTAATATGGAATATATAAAACATCAGTGAGAAAATATAGTCTCTTGAGCTAATTTTTAATTCTTTCCTATCTTACATTGTGTCTAAAAATATGTTTAAAAAATCAATGTGTACCTTGCATTCATTTTGTTTGAGTTTCCCCTCACCCGTTATTATCTAGTTCGCTTACATTTTTGCATTATTTTAAAATCACTTTCTCCAGCCTCTGGGTATGTTATGGGGAAAAATCAGGCCAAGATCCATTTTGGAGGGTTGATGTTAGTTTTAAAGCACAGTTTTGTTCTATCTGTTCTCCTTCCATTGCTACAGAACCGACCAAAAGACTGTCAACCAGATAAAAGCATTTGAAGCAAAGAATTTGACAACCATTAGCTAGAAAACTATTCCTTGAATAACTCAAAATCGATTGAAGCTTTCCTTATATATAAAATTGTTCTGTCATTCCATTCATTTTTTGCATTCTTCCTTTGTATACAAACATAGGAAAATGTAGACCAGTGACATAGAAACAAAAGGCATAATGATGCCAAATAGGAAAGAAGGACTTGGAGGATGCTTTGGACCTCTTAATTTCAGGCCACTTGATAGCAGATACAGTTCATTACACAAGAAAATTGCTTGATCTTGGGGAAAGAGGGTGCTGGAGGTGAGGGAAAATGAGTTAGTCACCAATAGAATTCACCTCGCAATTCAGTCATTTATATATAACTAGAGAATGATTGCTGCCACATTCCAGATAAAGAATGAGAGATTCTTTCCACAATACGATGGTGAATTATATATGTCCTGTGATTAGAGTCTAGGAAGAAAAGGAAAGAAAGGAAGATTCTTTGCCTCCTCCTTTTACCCCTTACCGTCTGCCCTTTATTCTTCATAACAACAAATCCCATGTTTAAATTATGTTGTACTTAATAAAAATAAAATCATATCTAGGGCTGTGCCAGGATCATTTCTAAAGCATAAGGAATGTTTAAGTAAAATAAAATAAAGACAAGTATTTCATTGAATGTTTTGTGATATGTTTGTTTTCTAGAAATGTTCTTACACATCCTGTTCTAATGATCAGTATATCTGAATATATTTTTATATAGATAAACTATACTATGGCTATACCATCTCTGGCAAGTATAGGAAGAGGGTTCTGATTGGAAGCTGATGTAGAAGGAAATCACAGTTTGTTTCAGAACACTTAGTGACCTGAGCCCAACTCAGCAGAAGGCACAAAGGCTGAAAAAGTGGTAACTTTTTAAATAACCTACCCATCATAGGTAAATTCCCATTACATTTTAGTAGTGTTGGATATAGCATTAGTAGAATGTGTGTATGAGTTCCGTGAACCCAGGAAGAAAGATTGTTTATGGTGCAATCATCATTAACATGACAAGACAAAAAAAAAAAAAGAAGGGCATTTAGAAGTTAATAGTAATCCACTATCCAAAACAAGTTAAATTTTGAGTTAGAACTTAGAAGCCCCAGAGTAGAAAGGGCTCTAGATTGTACATGAATGTGAGGATACATGACTGTTCATCTTTAGAATTGTGCAGGAAATGTCAAGAATATGTGCTGTGGAGTAAATGCCTCTAATGGGGAAAATAAGAACAGGAAGACAACTAATATTACATTGATCATAGCATAACTCATAAACATAATAAGATTATTTTGAAACAAGATCTTGTATTAACATATCATATAAAGCTAAGAGAGCATAACTATAGTAGTTCCTTTTGGACCAAGATAAATTGGAACCGCATGCATAATTAATTTGTAGAATTCTCAAGGTATTTTACCTTCAGTATGCACTTTTTAAATTAGTTGAAGAGTTAGGAAACGGCAGAAGTAGGTATGAAGGAAAGAACATTCTTAAAGATATCACAAGATGTAGTTGTCATGGCAAGGAAATTTAAACACAACGGCTTTTCTCAAAAAAGATGTGTTAGGGCTCATATTTAGATGCCCCTCTAAAGTTTCGTGCAGTCATAGGGGGGGAATTCTCACAGGTGGCTGCATCTAGAGTATGTACTGCTGGGATAGGGGTGTGTTATTACTAAATTAGTCCATTGATTGGTTTGGCATCCACCCTAAGCCAGGAGACTAGATAAAATATAAAAAGGGAAGAAAAATAGCTGCCATTGTTGCTGATGGTCTCTTGCTTGCTGTTGCTGTCTTCTGCCTGCCATGAACAGTTTCTTCTCTGCAGTGCTCCTCTATCATTTACCCTGCTTTGGAGCCAGCCAGTTATGGACTCAAACCTCTACAAACTGTGAACCAAAATAAACCTTTCCTCTTTTAATTTTGGGTGTCAGTTATTTTGTCCCAGCAATGAGAAAAGTAACTGAGACAACAGAACAATCATTATCTAGTCAAAAATGACTGCAGTATCAGAAGTCTCAAAAGCCTACCGAAAAGATAATTTAGGGTAAAAAAAAAAAAAAAGAATTGACTATCACAACTTTAAAAACAGTTTTTGTGTATCTTAAAGTCATTCTATCTCGGAACCAAGATTGCTTCTTACAAGAATAAAGTGTTACACAGAAACACATCCACATGTACACACAAGATGTATTGATTGAGAATTTTAAAATGAAATGTGTATTAGCTGAATATGTGGGAAAAATGATTATTTCAATGAAAAGGTAACAGCCTAGTCATACTGTCGAAGGGTGGGAGGCAGTGGAAGAATATAGACATACAAATAATATTCCTTTTTCCAGACAGAACAGAGATCTTTTGTACTACTGAAAGAAAATAATTCTTTTATAAGTCATCACTTTTAAAGTGCTGAGAAAACTGGAAAAAGGAAGAATGAAATTACATCTCATCTCACATATATACAAATCAACTAAAATGATTAGATTTATAACCTGAAAATAATAAAAGAACACATAGGAAATAACTTTTATGGTATGGTTCTGGGCAGTGATTCCTTTGTAGATGAGTCCAGAATCATAAGCAACAAAAGCATTTGATGTTTATTTTGGCTTTTAGTTTGATGTAATACTATATCATTTGCCTGTTTTGTTTTATTGACCTTTTGAGATCAACTCCAGAGAATCAACAAAGAAACAGCTAACAGAATAGGAGAAAATATTTCTCAACTTTTGTCTGGTGAAGAATTAATATCCAGAAGTAAAAGGAACTCAAAGATCATAACAAAAAACATGAGTAACACACAAATGTAGAAAAATGATCTGAAGAGACAATTCTCCAAAGAAGAAATACAGATGGCTGAGAGGTATGTGGAAAAGAATGCTCAGTGTCACTAATCATCGGAAAGGCTAGGTAAAGCCACAATTGGATGTTACCTCATACCTAGTAGAATGGCTGTTTTCAAAAGAATGAAAGATGATTATTGGGAAGGATGTGGAGAAAAGGGAACCCTTGTAAACTGTTGGTGGGTATGTAGATTGGAACAATCATTTTCTAAAAATTTCCTCAGATAACTAAAACTAGAACCCACCATATGATCTAGCAATCCCACAAGATAGGTAGATGATAGATGATAGATAGATGATAGATAGGTCTATCTCAAGGAAATTTATGTTGAAGAGATTCTTGTACTTCCGTTTTCGTAACTCCACTATTCACAGTAGCCAAGTCATGCAATCAGTCTGTGTCCATCAAAGATTTTTTTAAAATGTACATATATACAATGGGATATTATTCTCCTTAAAAAGAATGAAAAGTGTCATTTAAAACAACTGGATGAACCTGGCTCACATTGTGTCACGTGAAGTGATCCAGAAAGAGGGAAATACCACGTTTTCACTTACGACATTTTTTTTAAAACCTCAGAAACAGATAGAGTAGTGGCTAACAGTCTAGAAGTAAAGAGGGGTTAGAGAGACATTGGTTAAACCACACAAAGTCTTAGACAAGAGGAATGAGTTCAAGAAATGTATTGTGTCTACAATTTATAACATTTATAATTTATAATCGTGTCCATAATTTATAACATTGAATACTTGAGAATTGCTATGAAAGTAGATTTTAAGTGTTCTCACCACAAAATATAAGCAGGTGAGATAATGCGTATGTTAATTAACTTGATTTAGCCAATGCACAATGTACACATGTATTAAAGCATCAGTTGTATACGATAAGTATACACTTTTTCTTTATCAATTTAAACAGTCACCCATGCCATTAACAAAGATTTTAGAGCAAACGAAATTATAGTGAAATAGGTTCAATAAGTGGTAAATTATTTCATGTTAGAAGATTAAATGCTATAGCAAAATAGGTCAGGATAACAGTGATTGGAGACATAGAGGCATTATAGTTTCCTCTTTTATATGATGAAACATGAAAATGCCAGGGCTTTCTCACATGTTCTCAGAAAGGTGCTTGTTGGGATATTGATGTCAGTGGAGCCAGACATGCAAGGACTGTCCAGTAAACAATTGTTTCATTTTTTAATGAGTTAATACTTAATATTTGGGTCAAAGCATATGTAATAGCATAAAGTTAGTAGTAGAATTACCATAAGAGAAGTGCATAAATCCTATATAAAATCAGCATCTCCCATTAATTGAATTCCTGACACCTGTTCTTTTTATTTACTTTACTTTTACTTTTCATTTTGGTAAATACTAGTTCACTGCTGTTTAAAAAACAAGATAATTGAACATATGTGCAGTTTCAGTAAAAAACATTTACATTTTATATCACTGTTAATGAAGATATAATTGTCTTTATTTTATGCTTAAGAAAATAGGGATAATTTATTTAAGTACCACAGGTGACTGTATTGTTCATCTATTTAAGCAGTGACTGAAGCATGTGAAGGGATTAACTATTAGGAACAGACTAAGGACCTTTGACTTTATGTATCTTTTGCTTAACTTTTAATTTTATCTAAATTACTACTGTAATAATCCCATGAGGGTCGTTGTTAATGCCAATTATGTTCAAGACCATATAGACACAGGAACTTCTGTCTCCTTTTTTCAACCCATGAAGACCATTACATTTGGGAAACTAATGTATTTTTATTGTTATTATAGTAGTAGTATTTTAAAGAGCTTTGTGCTCTTTGCCAATTAAAATCTCACTTGATTCTCATACTAACATGATGTCAGGAAGAGTCATTGGAAGAGTCATTGGAAATGGAGGCTCAGAGAGGTACTTACCCAAGGTCACTAACCTAGTGGGTTTTGGGTAGAGGGTACATTGTATTGGACTGAGATGAACATTGCACTGTCTTTTAACAGAGGAACATCTATCCAGCACATCTAACCTTCAACCTATCTTTTCTTTGACCTCTTTTTTAAAAAGTCAATAAAATATTATAAAAGGGAAATTTTGTTATTTTATATGTGCCTCAAGACAGTTCCTCTTCTCTGAAGAAGAAAAAAAAAAAAAAGGCACGCCACATGTTGACATACCTGGGTTATTTCTGTTTAAGCGATTTGGTTCTGTTGTGAAAACTGACAGAGCATTTAATAGGGCTGACCAAGTCTAAGTATTGTGTTGTTTGGGTATGTGCTTTGTCATTTAATGACTAAGCATCTCTCTCCTTGCTCTTTCCCAGCCAGAACTTAGCTCACTGTGTCTCATCTTTTCTCTTGGTCTCAGGGGGTTAGGAGCAGAACTGCTATAATCTCCAATAAGGGAAGCAACCAAGTATGTAAAATACCTAGCTATCTTCTTTTTAATGTTATGCTCACTGTAACTTTTAAAAAGTGAAACAAAATCTCTTGTACAATAATTATTAATAATTCATGGTTGAAAAAATCTCAAAGAAAGTGAATATTATAAAAATTAATAGTTGAAGGTCAGTTTTTACTGCTTTACATATAATTTATGAATCAAGCCAGAATTTTAGAATTCAAATTTGTGAGGTGTTCCATTTTGTAATACTCTTTATTACAGAAGTGGAATTGCTAAACACTAGGTCATTTTGGTCTTTTACTATAAATTAATATGTCTAGAACATTAACTGCCATAGGCTTGCCTCAGGTCTCTCTTCCCAGCTTGGTTATTACATAGACTTATAAAAGAATAACCTAGTGCATTTTGTTATATGAAAGAGTGACAATAAAAAAATTGCTAGATTTTTTTTCTTACTGCTTAAAAATCTTCTCTTTGGATGTTTTTATACTTTTAACAGGAGATTGGTAATAAAGCTTAGATTAAGTTGCATATGAACAAGATGAAATTTACTGTTATCTAGCAGGAGTGCCCCATCTCATCTTCAGATGAACAGCATCATATTATTTATGGAGTACTGTATCTCTAAATATTGAAACAGCTCCATTCCAGATTTTCACAGGTTTATGAGGATCCTCTTTCTATTGCTCAGATGGTTTACTCCTTTTGGATTTGAGGATTTTCTGCCTGGTTTGCCTCTTAACTGGAAATAAGGAGAGGCTCCTCACCTTGAGTCAACCTTGAGTCCTTTTTCTTTAAACACTGTGTTCAATTTTTCAGAGCATTTATATGATCTACTTTCTAATACACCATGAATTTGACCTATTTTGGTCAGTTTCCCTACCACTACCTGGGCCCCAGTCACCATTACCACTCACCTGCTGCTCTATTATAATCTGTGCCAAAGCGTTTCCTTTTTTTGCCTTTGCTTCTCCTTGTCCAGTTAAAATACAAATTACATCATAGTTTTTGCTAGAATAGTTCAATAGCTTTCTCAACAAATTATAGCCATAGATCTTACAGTAGCCAAGGTCTAGATGATCTCTCCATACCCCAGCTCTCCAATCTTACCTTTTCTGTCATTTACTCTTTTAGCCATACCATCCTGCCCAAAGGTCCTTAAATAGAGCAGGCATTTTCCTTTCTTAGAGCAGAGGTTAAACCCAAGGTTTCTACTCACATAAAAACTTAGTTCTTCAATCATATACTAATTTTAAATGGCTTATTAAAAACTCTACACATAGTACTTCATTTGGTTGGGTTATTTCCTAAAACGTAATTATGGGACTAAAATTAAACAAAGATAGGACTAGAGTTCTTTGATGTCTGGTGTAATTACATACATGTTATGTAGTTATGAACAGAATTAAATGCAAAAGAAAAGAAAAAAAACAGGGTTGGGAGGTTTTGATGGGAAGAAGGACTGCATTGGCTGATGGACTCCAGATGATGTATGATATGGCTTGGCAGAAAGTTTCTCTGCATATTGCTCATGTCCAGAGACTTTGCCTGAGACTGAGGTTAAGGGTGGTGGACTAATTAATCTGGCAGAAGAAATTTCAAGGCAGTCTAACATTGAAGCAGTGGCATGGCTGCTGTTGGGGGCTTTTACCAGATCTATATTAAAAATCAAGAGTAAAGAGCCCAGCAGAGTAATTTAAATGTTGTGAGTTTAGCCAGAAAGGAAGCAACAGTAGAGCTGTGAACTGCAAAGATAGAGTAGAGAAGATCTTGATTGCTGAGAAGGAACAGAAGAATACAAAAGATTCCTGAGGGCATCACAAGAAGCAGCAGGACATCACCCTTTGCAAAGTTAGAGTTGCAAAAGTGTAAGACTTTGCTTTGAGAAGAAAGCCTTGCGGCAGCATGTTCTAGAGTGGTGGTTGCCACACCATGTCCCAAAATGATGGCAGCCATACTACGTTCCAGAGTGGCAGCAGCATGGAGAATTTGTTCCTCAAAATTGGATTCAGAGTGGTCATCAATCCAGACCCTCAACCCCTAGAGCCAAGAGAGAAAGAAACCTGGCTCCTGCTCCAGCAGGCAGCAGACCTAGGCATCATCCACGTGGTGCTGGTGTTAGGCATGTGCAGAATGGAAGAACTGCGGGGTTAGGAAGGCTTCTACCCAGGTTTCGGAAGATCTGGGAGGCCAGGCAGTTTTCCCATGAGAGGGCAGTTTGTAAAGCTGTGAGTGTGAAGCCAAAGGTGCAGTGAAAACCCCAGAAATTTGGAGCAGCCAGAAACATGTATCATCTGTAAGGAGGGACCAGAGCAGTTCCAAGAAATAAGCCTTGGCAGTTATAACCACCAGAAGTGCCATAGGGGCAGGACCACCCAAGCCCTTTGGAGCTCACAACTTACCATAGATTGCCCCAGATGCTTCACATGGAACTACAGGACTTAATGTTTGCCCTGCTGGATTTTGGACTTGTTTTGGTCCCATTCCTTTTTTGTTGTTGTTGTTGTTTTGTTTTGTTTTTGAGACAGGGTCTCACTGTGCAGCTCAGACTGGCCTTGAGCTCACTTTGTAGCCCAGGCTGGTCTCAAACTTGCAACAATCCTCCTGCCTCAGCCTCCTGAG